AACAGAGTACTCAATCAGTGTACCACCAGGCTCCTCTCTTCATGATTTCAATCTACTGCAATCCAGTCAATTCTGGCTCAGCAACCCTACATAGAATTGCCAAGACTGTTCATCTTTAGGAGAGCAGACTGCCCCATCTTTCTCCCATAGGGCAGCTTACAGTTACCAATCCAACACTTATCCCCCAGGGCCACGATGGCTCTTTTTCTTCATGATAGGGTAGTTTGTAATAGAGATGACAACAGATAACATTTCTTTTTAGTTCCATTTTTAGAACATTTATCAGGTTTTCAACAAATTTATAGCTTTTGATCTGATCAAAGGTCAAATGTGAATGCTAATCTTTGACAAGTTCATTTTCTCTATGCCTTTGTCTTATTTCATTTGCAAAGTAAGCAGCAAAAATGCTCCCATCTGAAAGCTATATGAAGATATGTAAATTGTTAAGAAGCAAACTTTTTCTTGTCCTTGATGAAAATATTTTCACTGATAAACTTTGATCATGTAGGAGTATTCAATATACCTATTAATTTCAGCATCATTTATCATTTTGACAACCCCATTTATTTTCAATCTCATTTTTCCCATTTTCTATAGCCTCTTGTAGGTAAGGACTGCTGATTTATCTTCACATGGCATTTTTATAGATAAATTAGTTTCCCATCTAGAGTTATTATACTCATAATAGATCAAAATGTAATTAAGAACCTAAAATTTTTCAGAATTTGAAGGTAAAATGTTATAAAGAACATTTATTGAAATTGAGGTGTTTCAAAAATGTGATTAAGATGATTAGATGTCTCACATGAAGAAAATGAAGGTAGAGTCCAAGTTTTATCAAGGAAGGATAAAAGGTAAAATAGATTATGCTTAAAATAATTGTTCAGAGAATCCGGCAAGATGGCGACCGAGTAACACACACCAGAAGGACTCTGCAGAAACCAGTGCAGGAGAGCCACTGAGAGAGAAATTCCACTCTTCCAGGTGACAGAATTAGAACCTTTGTGGTGCTCCACTCAGCTAGGAGAACCTCTGCCCACCTTACATGGTGCTCCATGTGCTGGGGGAGCCCTGCCCATCCTCTGCTGTCCCATGTGGCTGAGGGAACTTCCTCCTGCCTGTTGCAGTGTTTCACACAACAGAAAAGTGGGTGAAGGGAGACATCGGCCAGTGTGAGAC